GTGGGGCTGAAGGGCATCAAAAGAAGCATTGCACCAACTATCACGCTTGGCGTGCTAAGAAAGGTATGCTTCTTAATTTGGTTTGTTCTGAGGTTAATTTAACTTCGGTACCTAGACACACATGGTGGCTGGATTCTGGTGCAACAACTCACATCAGTGTGTCTATGCAGGGTTGCCTGAATTGCCGAAAGCCTAATGATAATGAAAGATATATCTACGTGGGCGATGGCAAAACAGTTCAAGTTGAGGCAATTGGAGTTTTTAGATTATTGTTAAAAATCGAATTTTATTTGGATCTCTATGAGACATTTGTTGTACCGTCTTTTAGACGGAATTTAATTTCTATTTTTGCTTTGGACAAGTTTGGTTATTTTTGTTCATTTGGAAATGAAAAATTTGAATTGTTTCATGATTCAAAATTGGTTGGTTCTGGTTCTTTAATGCATTACGATAATCTATATTTAATTGATACGATTGCCACATTTAATGAATCTCTGCATTTGAGTAGTAGAGGAGTTAAAAAAAAATTAACCAATGAGAATTCAGCTGCATTGTGGCACAAGAGATTGGGACATATCTCCAAACGGAGAATGGAAAGGCTTGTGTCAAATGAAATTCTCGACCCTTTAAATTTTACAGATTTTCATGATTGCATTAACTGTATAAAGGGGAAACAAACCAATAAAAGGAGATTTGAATCCAATAGATCCTCAGACGTCTTAGAACTTATACATACAGATATTTGTGGACCATTTCCTACATCTGCCTGGAATGGTCAACAATATTTTATAACGTTCATAGACGATTTTTCAAGATATGGCTACATATATCTTATTTCTGAAAAATCACAGTCACTGGACTTGTTCAAAAATTTTAAGGCTGAAGTTGAGAATCAACTCAACAAAAGAATTAAAAGCGTCAGATCTGACCGTGGTGGTGAGTACTATGGCAGATATCACGGTTCAGGTGAACAACGTCCAGGACCATTTGCTAAATACCTAGAGGAATGCGGTATCGTCCCACAGTACACTATATCGGGTTCACCCACTATGAATGGTGTAGCTGAAAGACGAAATAGAACGCTTAAAGACATGGTAAGGAGTATGATATGTCATTCTATTTTACCAGAGTCACTCTGGGGTGAAGCACTTAAGACTACAGCATATATCCTTAATAGGGTTCCAACTAAAGCAACTATCAAAACCCCTTATGAGTTTTGGACAGGGAAAAAGCCCAGTTTAAAGCATCTACACATTTAGGGATGCCCAACTGAGGCAAGGCCTTATAGGCCCAATGAAAATGAAAAGAAACTGGACTCAAGAACGATTAGTTGTTATTTTATTGGATATTCTGAAAGATCCAGGAGTTACAAGTTTTATGATCCCACAGCCAAATCAATTTTTGAGACAGGAAATGCTCGGTTCTTTGAGGATGTCGAGTTTGGGGGAGAAAATACAGTAAGGGACATTGTCTTTAAAGAGGAATATATTAATATTCCCACAGGTGTCATTGCTCTTGCTCAGGACCCTATTCCTGAACTTGATCATGGCATAACAAATCAAGACAATGTCGAAGAGCAAACTGTTATAGAACCACAAACTCTTCCTCTTCAAGAACTAGTGCCATTAAGAAGATCCACTAGAGAAAGGAGAAGTGCAGTGCCAGATGATTACATTGTTTTTCTCCAAGAACATGAGGATGACTCTGGGTTGATGGAAGATGATCCAATCAACTTCCATCAAGCCATGGAAAGTTCAAATTCTCACAAGTGGGTCGATGCCATGAATGAGGAGATTAAATCCATGAAAGACAATGACGTTTGGGATCATGTCCCATTGCCAGAAGGAGCGAAACTCATTGGTTGTAAATGGATATTTAAAATCAAGAGAGATTCGAAAGGCAATGTGGAAAGATACAAAACTCGTCTTGTCGCTAAGGGATTTACACAAAAGGAAGGTATCGATTATAAAGAAACCTTCTCTCCAGTCTCTTCAAAGGACTCTTTTAGAATTATCATGGCATTAGTGGCACATTTCGATCTTGAGTTACATCAGATGGATGTAAAGACAGCGTTTCTCAATGGTAACATTGATGAGACAATTTATATGGTGCAACCAGAAAACTTTGTATCAGGAGATTCAAAGAATATGGTTTGCAAACTTAAAAAATCCATCTATGGGCTCAAACAAGCGTCTCGACAATGGTATTTCAAATTTCATCAGGTGATCATCTCATTTGGTTTCGAAATGAATTTAGTAGATGATTGTATATACCATAAGTTCTGTGGGAGCAAATATATTTTTCTGGTATTGTATGTTGATGATATTTTGCTTGCCAGCAACGATATTGGTCTATTGCATGAAACCAAGAAATTTCTAACTAAGAATTTTGAGATGAAAGATCTTGGTGATGCATCTTTTGTGTTAGGTATACAAATACACCGGGATCGATCTCGGGGTATTTTAGGACTATCACAAAAGGGCTATATCGAAAAGGTTCTCAAAAGATATGGCATGCAAAATTGTAAATCAGGTGACACTCCTGTGGTTAAAGGAGACAAATTTAGTCTCGAACAGTGTCCTAAGAATGCTTTTGAGGAAAGAGAGATGCAAAAAATTCCTTATGCCTCAGCAGTAGGGAGTCTAATGTATGCTCAAGTATGTACGCGTCCGGATATTACGTACATTACTGGGATGTTGGGTAGATATTTGAGTAATCCTGGATTAGATCATTGGAAAGCAACCAAACGGGTTTTACGTATCTACAGAAAACAAAAGACTACATGCTCACGTATCGGAAGTTAGATGAGTTAGAGATCATTGGGTATACTGATTCCGATTATGCTGGATGCCAAGATTCTATGAAGTCAACGTCAGGCTATGTGTACTTGTTGGCTGGAGGTGCCATATCCTGGAAGAGTGCTAAACAGTCCCTCATAGCATCTTCCACCATGGCTGCAAAGTTTATAGCTTGTTATGAGGCATCCAACCAGGGAATTTGGCTGCGAAATTTCGTCACAGGATTACGTGTAGTGGATGGTATTGAAAGACCACTCAAATTATTCTGTGACAATAAGTCAGCAGTCTTATATTCCAATAACAATATGAGCTCGACCAAATCTAAACATATAGATATCAAGTTCTTGACTGTTAAAGAAAGAGTGCAGAATGGACAGTTATCAATAGAGCACATCGGGACAAATTTCATGGTTGCGGATCCGGTTACTAAGGGATTGCCACCCAAAATATTTTATGAGCATACTGCTCATATGGGTGTCGTATTAAATGATGTATAGTTTTAGTGGGAGTTTATTATTTTAAATGCTCTTATGATATTTTTCAGTTATTAAGGATTTAAGGATATTTTATGCATAAATAAAGTTTGGATTTATTTGTATTCTAATTTTGGTATGATTTGATATCATAAAATTTAAGGTAGACCAGTTGGAAATAGGCATGTTTTGATCACATTACATGAAATTTCCATGCTACACATCCACATCATAATTCATGTCATTCAATTGTATTGATATATGTGACCATTGATGAGTCGAGTTACGAAACTGTAACAAAGGCCGCTTTGATCCTATATTGGTGTAATTGATGGACCGAATTGGTTACAGATACATTGTGATAATGACAGTAAAGTTGATCTCATACGGTTAATTGCAAAACATAATTATAAGGTTACACATATAGTCCAAGTGGGAGATTGTTGGATTCTTAATCCAACATTGGACTTATATGTGAATACTTATGTATTGCAAACTGTCAATTAAGGTTTAACCCAATTAAAGTGATCAAATATAGTTTGGGTTTAATGTATCTAATAGGATGTGGGCCCTTTAATGTGTAGAAACTTATGAACTTCTATTTCAATGATGGGCTGAAATAGGGCTCCAAAAGGTAACAGGAATGTTACCTATAAATAGGGTTATGGTCCCCAGATCACAGGTATCGTTTTAGTTGTCATATTTCCTAATACCACAAAATACCCCTTCCCTGATATCCCATCGTCAGGAAAGATACCAGAGAGAAACTAAAGGCCTCTCTCAAAGGATTGGTGAATACCTGTTGACCTGGAAGGCCACCCCAAATCTCAAGGGATTAAAGCATCAAGTTTATCAATATGGATTCAGGTACGCTTCCGCTATTTTACAGTTAATTTGTTTCTTAATAATCGCCAGATCTTGGATTTAAAGGTGATGGTTTTCACCAGTGGTTAGATTTAGATAACCACCCTAACACTCATTGAAGCAAACCTCAGTGTTTATCTAATTAGATTGCTTCAAATGTTTAGTCACTTTCTTTGCTTTGTTGGCTTGTCAGGCGGAGAGGGAACTGCAACCATGGATTGCCAAAGATGATGATCTTGGTCAGAAGATGTGGAGGATCAATCAACGCATTGTAAAAGTGATTGTGGAGCTAATGAGAAATCATGATACACCTGAATCATTGGTAATTCTATCTAGTGCTTCAGACCTCCTGTTACGCGCCACAGATGGGATGCTCGTTGATGGAGAAGCATGCACTTTGCCGCAACTGGAGGTAGCTGATTCTAATTATTTGAATGAGCAGCTGTCCTTTTTTTTTTTTCTTTAAAATTGTAAAGACTTTTGAATTGCTAAATTTAAATGTTCAATTTTGCCCTTTCCTAATCTTTTCCATATATGCTTGTTCGAAATTATGAATGAAAGTATTGATCTTTTTCCTAAAAAAAAAAATGTTTTTTATGGGTAAATCTATCATACATTGACATTGTATACGCTAACGGATCTAAATACATCCTACATCTAAAATGTAGAGATCAAATCCAAATTGAAATCATGTGGCATATATGCAGGTCTGGTTGTGTATACACTATTAATGTAGGAAAGATTAATTCTTATACACACACTGTTTACTGACTAATTTCCTGTATTTGCATCCTCTAAGTCTCTAACAATGAAAAAGCTCCTCAAAGCAACTGCTAGAGCGGTCCAACCTGTACGCGAGTGGGGAGAATCCGGATTGGCTATGGCCGATGGCCTTTTGAACCTATTGAAGGTAATACACCCATGTAAATAACATTCCCTAGTGCTGCTACTAGAAACGTAGTGTGATTTACATTGAAATTTAATGAGGATTTCTGTAGAGAAATTTCTAATGTGGTGATGGTTTTTAAAAAAATTTTACAAAGAGGGCGTTTAGGGTGTCATGTTCTGTAAAAGGGATGTTCACATTTGTCAAATGCGAGTTTATTGAGATCGCATTTGCTAAATGCAACTTGTCCCCCATTTTCCAGCCATTGAGATCCAAAAAAAAAAAGAAAAAGAAAAAGAAAACATATGTATCTCGCATTTAAGGAAATGCAAGATACATGACCTCAAATTTAAGAAATGCGAGGTATATACCTATTGTTTCCCACCATTGTTTCGTATGATGCTTCCATATTTTGGCATGATTTTTCTTTTTGCTTTAGCTGTAATGCCATGTACTCAATATAAATGATTTAACTGCAAATTATAAAATGATTTACAATTTGTAACGAAAGCGTCTACAAATTTTAGCAGTTAAGGCTCTAAATTCATTAGAACTGGAAAAAAATCCCATAATATTGCCATCAATAGTTGATAATAATTTGGGGCAATAAATTTTAACCAAACTAGTAAGCTTTTTGGTTGGACTGTATCTTGCATCCGATAAATACGAATTCCTAGAAAATTGCATCAAAAAATTTTAATATTTTTTAAATTACTTTTTTAATTTGTTTATTTGTTAAATTCATTCTTAATAATTTGTCATAAACTCTTTGTTATTAAAAAATATATGTAGCTGATGTTGTAAAGTGTATTAATCTAGTAAGTCAATAATTTTTGTAAAGTGTTTTAATCTAGTAATTCAATAATTTAAGTACCTATACACTAATTGAGAATTCGTAGTTACTCAACTACTTATAATAAAAGCAACATATTATATACCACATAAAAAAGAAAAGTTAGCAATTATTATTTGTAGTGAAATAAAAAATAAGAATGAACAAGAATAGTAGTTTATTTTTTGTTATTGATACTACTAATAATTGATTAATCAATTTCTCTAATTTGCTATTATATATTGGAAAAGTTAATTTCTTAAATGACATTGAATTCAACATTTGGGAAAAAATCTTGTACTCACATAGATTTTTTGCATAAAATATTGACCTACGAAATTAAGAAATAAACAAATTTTGACTAATCTAGTCTACTTATTTAAACAATGTTTAAAGAAAAAAAAGAAGAATTTAAAAAGAAAATTAACAAATAGGATAAATTAAAAGGGATAAAATTGTCTAAACATATCATTCAAGAAAGCAAAATGCCTATTATTATAATTTAGGGGATAAACTGCAATTGGGTATATAGTTTATAGGGGTTTTTTACATTAACCCTTTATCAAATGATTATTACGTGATTATTTATCTTATAGAGTACAAGATATACTTTGTTGTAAATGCAAAAATAAAGATCCAACATAATAATCATTTCCAAATTTTATTTGTTTATTGTAATTTATTATGATTAATAAATAAATTTATATATATACACTTACTTTTTTTTTGAAAAAATTTTGACAGAATCTCCCCTTAAAAGTGGACTAAACTCCCTGCCAGCAAATCCAAAATAGACAACATTTAACCTAAACAATATTTCCAACAACTTGTCCAAATATTAAACATAAAACTACTAAAAGTCCCACACATTTCCTCCCCTACACTTAGAATAATATTCATAACACGAGTACACAATTAGAGTTTTGAATATCAATGATGTCCAAGTTTTCTATGAGTGCCACATCCTCTGGGTTTGTGTACTCTTTGTGTTCGACGTGGCTGGGCTGGCATCACTATATCGACTTGAGTAATCTGTGACTCAAGTCTAGCATCAAGTGCTTGGGTACTTTGGCCTGCATCTGTACCTGCTACATGTTGTTCACCACTGCTATGATGTAAGTCTGTATTGGGCGTAAACTTCGCCATAGGCACTGGGAACCTAGAATGACCAATAGACGTAGAGGTGCCCTGATACTCAGTAGCCTGTGACCTGCCATCAAATCCAGTTTGGACGGTGGGTTCTGGTGATCAGAATCTACGACGCTGTCCACCGCCATGCTGACATCCGTGAACATTCCTAGGAGCTCTTTCAACGCAACGCGGGTCTGCTGGCTGTGGAATTTGCTGTGGCACTCGTGGAGGGTGAAATGCAAGTCGGGATAACTCTCCTACAGTTTCCAATGTCATGGATGCAAAGTCCTTCATTGCATTAAAATAATTCACATGCTGTTCGTTACTCTGTGCTAGAGAGGTCTCTGCCATGTAATACATCTGAGTCATAACATCCAGTTGGAATGCAAATATTGGGATGAATAAGGATTAAAAGAGTTAAATCGTTATCGACTTGGATGGGAATCTATTTCATTAATTGTAAGGAAAACTTACCAGATATTGTGCTCTGGCGCTATCACCCTGAAAGCCCTCTGGAAAAAAAGCTGCTTAGTAGGATTTGAAATATATAGCACTGTCTGCTCGCGATACCACTGACGATACTCATCGGATGGATATGTAGGATCTTCAGCTACAACATCATCTTCCACATGTGAATGACGATCAGTCCACACATCAATATATGCTCCATGTGTAGTTATCCAATCTTGATTCCCCTTGTCACGATGATCTAGAGAATGTAGTGCTGCTTGATTTTCGGTCAATCTTAGATCAAGCACGGGCTGATGATATTCAAACTGTCTCATAACGCGATACGGAAGATGTGGCTCGACAACTTCCCAACATATGAGATACGTGACAGATCTCCAAATGTCGCGTCCTGCTGTATAATATGCAGGCAGAGAAACGAGAACATCCTCCGAATATGGTTGCCATATGAACTGCAAGGCAATAATTATTCAGACACACATTATTTTTTAGAAAATTTCGACAGCATTTCCCCTATAATTGGACGAAAACTCCCTGCCAAACACAACATTTTTTCCCACTGAATCAACTCATAAAAAAAAAAGAAAAAATTCAAGTTATCCGAGGGTTTGTCTTGGAAACCTCCCTTGAAGGTTTGTCTAATATCACTTAACATTCTTGAAATGTTAAAAATATCACTAACTTCCCCTACAATTATATATTTTGTAACAAACTCACCCCTAAATTATAAAAACATTCTTAAAATAATCATTTAAAGAGAGAGATGTATTTGCTCCAAGAGAGATGTTAACATTCAACAACTATTAGATTAACCATTTTTTGTAGGTTTAGTTTTATTATCTTCTTATTTTTTGCATATATAATGGTTAGAATGATGAGGATAATTTAATCAGAGGTTAACGTAGGAAGACTAAAAATCGAGGAAAGGGGTGTTTAGGGAATTAATAATAACTAGAATTGTCAAATCTTATATAGTTTATTTTTCCCCAATGTTTTTAGCAACAAGTTTTTTTTTTTTTTTCCAAATAGCGATAGTAAATATAGAATTGGTATAAAAGACAAAAGTAGTGGAGCGGGAATAATAAGCATTTTCACTTCAAACCTTGCCTTTACCTCCATAAATGTTAGTTTTAGTAAGGGGTGTTTAATATAAAGTTCGTATACAGGGTTTAAAAATTTGGAAGGATAAGGATGTTTAAATTCAAGTATAATTGTTTGAATAGTTGTTGTCATTATGGACTTAGATTTTTTTTTCCAACATGTTATTTGCCCAAAACATTGTTACACCATTAAGGATAACTTAATAACAAGTTGGCATGAAATGCAAAAATGAAAAATGAAAAGGATTGACAAAGAATTAATGGATAAATTCGAAAGTGTGTAAACAAATTGTTTTTATTTTATTTTTTTGTAAGTGCGTAAACAAATTCTTACTCCATTTATTTTCCAAAGTAAAGACAGCAACAAGGGAAAAAATGAAAAGGATAGAAAAATACTGTTGAATGTTGAAAAGTATCCTAGGTTTTAGCTTATAGGAAAAGGATAGAAAAAGCAGGAAGCCTTAGAAAAGCAAGCTACTTATGTCACATTTTTATATATCTTCAAATTTGCTTTAATTAGCTGGCTTTGGTCCAGTAGACTCTTCAACACAACTTGATAATAGAAATAATATAGCCAATTTCACACAAAATAACAATTAACAAGTCAACCACGATTATGTGACTGAAGTACATACAGATATGACATTTTTTTAATTTCTGTCATACCTGTCAACTCACTAAAAGAAAAAGTGAAAACCAAATTACCTTAGTATATTTAAGAGTTAATAACATTTTTACTTCCCTGAGATAAGGTCTGTGATCACACTCTATTACTCAAAATTAGGCGTGTTCTTGGGGTATCATCGATAAATCAATAGAAGAAGTAAGGGCTGCTTCGTTATTATTGGAATTCTCTGCAGAGTTTTTGTGAGGTTGCAGTTCCTGTTATACTTGCTGATTTTAAAGAATGTTGAGTTTATTGCATTCGGTTTCTCCCTTGCACTACCAATTTGGCCCTCTGACATAAAGATAAGAAAATGTGACCACCACTAAAGCTATATTCAAATGAAAGCGGGATACCTTTTACGCAATCAAAGATACTAATGCATCGTGGTAAATAAAAAATCACCTCAGGAATTCTCTCTCTTAATTAACCAATCAAATCTTAACTGGACTAATTACATTTTCTCTCCTCAAATGAAATGTACTGACTATACTCCCCGGTGCTGTGCATGGGTTAAAACTTGGTAGTTTCTAGGAAAACGGCTTTCCAAACAAAGGCCTTTTGGGTATTATTATGTTGGTTCACCACTGCGGTCTAAATTCAAATCTGATATAACTTTTAATGCTCCTATTACAAATTATCATGCTCTTAGTACAAGTTATTAATGCATTAGAGGGCTGGATTTATGTTATAGGGGTATAGATGTAACCCATCCCATGTGTACTTCATCATTATCTCTAATTATGACAGAGACTTTGCACCAGTTTTTTTTCAGTAAGTCAATAAAGTATGGAAACTTGGAATTATTAAACTTTGTTTCGTAAGTCAA